ATTTTCATTTTTTTATTATAGCCAATTTTTTTTATTTTAAAATATTTGTAAAACTCCAACTTGAAATTACTCCTTAATTTAAATGGGTAGTTCTTTTCCTTATTTTATTATAACTAATTATAAGATATCTTTATTTATAATTTAAATAGAGTAACCGATTAATTCAAAATTTAAAATTCAAAGGTTTTTTTAGTTAGAAAGGAAGTAACCAAAACTACTCCCCAACTTGAATAGGTAGTTTTGTATTTTGGTTGTTTGTTTTTTAATATTTTCGTTTTATACTGTAGCTAATTTAATATTTTCTTATTTTTTGTTTTTTAATTTTAAAATTCCAACTTGAAACTACTCCCCAATTTGAATGAGTAGTTATTGTTTTTTAAACTTTTATTTTTTTAATATAGCTAATTATAAGATATCTATATAAATTAATTCAAATAGAGTAACCAATCAATTCAAAATTTAAAAAGGTTTTTTAGTTAAAAATATAATTTATTTTATCTTAATAATGTCACTTGACTTTTTGTGGTTATACCACTTGTCTTATGTGCAGAGGCGGCTTAGCCCTAAGGCAACTAAAGCCAAGGCTTTAGGCCCCAAAAAATATAGGGCCCCAAATATTACTCATACTATATATATAACAAGTATATTTTAAATAATTACTCCTATAATTCTTTATAATAGTAAGTAAATCCTTTCAAACATTTGCTATGTCAATAATCATTATGGCATAGTCCAAACATTATTGCTATTTTTCAGGGCGAATTTAGTTGAGCTATAACAAATGAATAACATACACTTAAATGATCCTCCTTCATTCTTCGTATTCTCTTCAACTTGGATTAATTTTTACTTTACGGTAGCTTCTATACATACCCTGAGCGAATTAGTTCCATATTGATATTTTTGACTTATTTTGTAACAAAAGTACTACGAAAAACCATCAAGTAGATCGATAATACTCTAATCGATATACTAATGAATTAAAAGATTGGGTTACATAATATTGCTCATCCTAGTCACTATGGACGTATTTGCCCAATTGACACATCTGAAGGAATCAATGTTGGACTTATTAGAAAAATAAAGATATTTTCCCCAACGGAAAGATATTTTTCGAAAATAAAATTAATAAAGCTTTACCTAAGATCAACAATATCTTAAGAATAATTAAATAAATTAGCTATATTATTAATTAGGAAGAAAATATGAGAAGAAGTTGATATATTTAATTCTTGATATATTGCCTCCAAAGGCCTAACGATTCAGCTTTAGGCCCTATATTCCATCGAGCCGCCACTGCTTATGTGATAAATATTGTATTCTCTCTTTACAAAGCCTCCTTGGTGAAGTTATTTGTTCTTTTATACATAAGTTTCTTAAACAATTATAGTCAAATACTATCTTATTTTTCTTTTTAATTCGTAAATCAGATCTCGTGTGATAACGCGTTATCTACGGTGCAATAAATATTTAAGTGAGACTTGTACTTAGGGGTGTACAAACCGAATTGAAAAATCGCATCAAATCGATTAAAAATCCGACTAGGTTTGGTATCAAACCGATTTAAAAACTCGACTAAATTTGGTTTGGTTTGATTTTGTATTAAGTAAAAAAATCCGAACAAACCGACATATAAATATATAATTTTTATATATATTTTTAAGACTTTTCATAGATTTTTCTTTAAAAAAATATCTAAAAATATTTGTGATTCTCTTATGGGATGTAATATTTAGTTAAATATGAAATGTTCTATTTTTATTAACTTTAAATAATGGGTTGTACCATACTTTCTTATCAGGTGTTAGTGAATTGCGTCAATCTGTTTGTTCTTTCATATTCATATGTCAAGATCTATTAAATTTTTAAATCTTTTTTGAATTTGAAGTGGTATTTCGATAATTTAAAATTAAATAGAACATATTATTATATAGGTATCATATTGATTTTATATTTAATTATTAAATTCAGTTAACCTTGAAAGTGTACATCAACGAAAAATTATTGTCAGACGACTAAAAAATACCTATCATATATTATAAAGAAAATTCTCATATAAGAATATGATAGATCATATGTTTGTCAAATTTTTCAATTTTTACTAAACATATATTTACTTATAAAAAAATTTAACAAAGTAAGATTGAAATAATATTCATGTAACAAAAAACTTCAAAAAATCCGACAAAACCAAACTAATCCAAACCGATATAGTTGGTTTAGTTTAATTTTAATAAAAATCGAACCAACCCGGTCAATGTACACCCCTTGCACCTCCTTTGCACCTCCTTTGAACTTCTGTATCGTACTTTATCTTAATCATATAATGTGGTTTTGTTTATAAAAAAAAATGTAGCTTCATGAATGAAGAAAAATACTTTTCAATACTTAACTAAACCAAAAACTGGGTTTAGGCTTCCTTTTTAAAAAAGAAAAAAAGAAAAAAAAAACACTTCGCATCAAACTTAATTCTAATGCTTTGGATTCTGAAACAAGATACAAACTTTATGTAGAACTTTTGAAGTAGAAAAAAACACACATGAAATTACAGATTAGATACCGATGCTACTACGTACTTCATATCTCTTTAACCTTTTCAGTATCTTCTTTCTCCTCTTCTTTTCCACCCTTCCATAAATCGGACAGTGTTGGAAGCTTGATCTCGCCACTATGAGAAAGGGGAATGGTGAAGTTGCCAATGACTGGAAGGTCAATGGTGAGACCCAATTCCAATGTATAGTCAATGTCCCAATCTGCGCCAATATCCTTAGCCAAGCTAACTAGCACACTGTGAGGAACTTTCACTGGCACATCTAACATGGTTGTATCATCTGCCTTTATATTCCCTGGGTCTGGAATTGTTCCTGATACTATAACCCTGTACTCCATAATCGATTGATTTAAATATGATAAAAGTCAGTATATAAAAATATTTTCCGTTCGTTATATCAGTCAATGAATTATGTCTCAATCCTAGTATCCTACACTGGATCTCCGTATTTGTAATTGGAAAATTCACTATCAATTAGCAAAATCTAAAACAAGACTAAAAATCAGGGGTGTCAATGCATATTTAAAAACCGATTAAACCGAACGAACCTCACCAAACCGATTTTTAGGTTTCTTTTATTAAAACCGAATCTATAACCTTACCGATAATTAGAGTATTTTTTTGGTTTATTTAAAAAAATATTGAACCGTACCGAATGATTTTTAAACCGAACGAACCGTACCGAACCGATTTTTAGGTTTCTTTTAATAAACCGAATCTATAACCTTATCGATAATTAGGGTATTTTTTTGGTTTATTTAAAAAAATACTGAACCGTACCGAATGATTTTTAAACCGAACGAACCGTACGAAACCGATTTTTAGGTTTCTTTTAATAAAACCGAATTTATAACCTTACCGATAATTAGGGTATTTTTTTGGTTTATTTAAAAAAATATTGAACCGTACCGAATATCGAATAAATTTATAATGTGAAAAATATATTTATATATTAAATTTAAAATAATAAAGCATTAATTTTTTTACAAAACTAGCAAGACGTGAGTTTTTACTCTCTTGTGTGTGGTAGAATCACTTAGCCAGCATATGCCTATAAACTAGATCAGATAGCCAGTGAATTGAGTCCAAGGTGTACCTCAATATAACAAAAAAACGGTAACAAAGAAAAGTAGAACTTGCTTCTTAGAGGAGTTTCTATAAATCTGAAAGGTGAAAACTGTTAGTCCCGCCAATATTGTTGTATATGTAAATAATAATTCTGTAAAATATAAGTTATCGTAATAAAACAGTAATTAATTCGAGCCCACTGAATTCACAGTGTTTCCTTAAGAAATTTAATTCCCTCCTAGTACCCAAGGTAATGGATTATTTCCTCCCAGGATAGAACGAATCACACACTGGTGTAGCGGTACTTCAAACCCTAGTGTTTCAACGAACACAAAGTTCGGTAGCAAATCACACTTACAGTTGCTTGTTTGAAGTTAAAAACAATGCAGAACGAAGGAGTAGAAACTCAGAAAATCGTATGGAAATGCTGAGAGGAAGGAGTGCAATGTATAGCCAAATCTGTTGAGCGATTTCAGTCTTGTGTATTGTGTGTTGTGTGTCTTTCTTCAACAGCTGTTGCACATATATATATATATAGCAGCCAGTGTTGAAGAAAAATAATCGTCCACCCTCCATGGTGGAGCAAGCATTAGCTTGTTTGTGGAGCAAGCACATTCATGGTAGGAAGAGCATTAGGCGGCTGCCTTAAAATATCCGTTACAAATGCGGATAATCTTACGTTAATATTTACTATTAACAAATAAATTTGGTCCAAAAAATTAATCAATCAATCATTTGACTGAATCCGAATCCGGGAATCCGAAGCCGAAGCCGAGCGACGGCGCGAGGCTTACTTTCTTCTTAACTCTTTAAGAGCTACAAGAAGAGCAATTATATATATACCCACCAAAAAAAAATTTCTCTTCCAATATGGAAGAATGTCTCATTGTCAAGAGAGAAAAACTTAAAATTTTACTCAAAAATTTCATTTTCCCTCCATTTCCCATTCACCTTCTATTTCATTTTAAAAACAAAAACCTCAACAAAAACTGCATCGAAGTTAAGCTTCACCAACATGTGAAATTAACAAAGAGAAAAAGTAAATATATACTTCAAAGTTAAATCTAGAATGATAAGAGGAGATTTATAGGACCGACCTGCCGGAGCATTTAAGGGTGTAAGAGATCTGCATGATAGGTACGGGAACGGAGTAAGGGTTCTTCACTGCCACCTTAGCATGATATGAAATGCTGTCCATGCTCACTTTCTTCATATCCACGTCTGTGATGCTAGCCTCTGGTTTCTCCATGTTAACCACCTTCTCTGCCACGAAATTCTTCGCTTTGTCTATCAAACCGGCCATTACTTTTGAATCCAGGAATTAAGAACGTTTTCAGTTTAAAATGTAATGCTTGATATATGAATCACTCTACAACTCCTTTGGATATAATTAAAGCATCTATTTATAGGATGTGGTTCCGAACTTTGAGAGTTGACACGTAACAAGGTTACTCCTATCAAAGATATGATGTGGATACCTCTTTTTTTACAAGAAAAAATTGTAATGCCGACACCAGTACACGTGATGGTCGGTCTTGAGCCCGTGTCCAAGGTTTGATCGCATCATTCATGGATATCTATCTTCACCATTAATTACGTACGTACTACTCTTTAGTTGGGTGGAAAGAGGGAAATTAAAGTACCTGCTTATTAACTCTTTGTTGACTTTAAAGTTGTCAATGTGGAGCTTGTCATGTTGCTGAGTACAATTGCATTGCTCTTGCGTGTGTATAATTTTATTTTTTTTTAAAACTTACTTGTGCCAAGTATTTATTACATCACAATAATTTATTATGATTAAGTGACTTATTGAGTTGAAAATATATATTAAATAATCGTACGTAAGTGATTTAAAAAGTAAATATAAAAATATATAATAAATAATAGTTAGTCCGGTGCACTAAACTCCCGCTATTCGCGGGGTTCGAAGAAGGATTAGATCAACAATTGCTTCTTTAGTGCCTCTCCTAGGGGATGGATTCATGGAATATGGATACATTAACACTATATGACTTAAGGTTTCACCACGTATTCCGTCTGTCGACAACTCGTACGGATAGTCAATGATCCCGATACTTCATTTGTCAATCTCAAAAAGATTGTCCTATTACTTTTCTTTATTCTCCAAATAGTCGGTTCTCCACCTCCATATTTTTTTCTTTGTTATTTTTCATACGTCTCTGTTACGATTTCTTTTTATTCAACCGATAAATCTTGGAGGTTCCCTACCTTTTTACTTTATTAGTATTTTATTCATTCGTAAAACGTCTCAGTTACGTTTTTATCGTTTGGTCAATACATCTGAAGCCCTGCCCGGCCCATATGCACATATAGCCACTTTTGGCATCGCTGTATTGGAACAGTCAAAAGTTCGAAAACGTTTAAATTTTAGCCACTTCATCAACTTCAGACCATCGCCTCTGAAGTTGGCCGCTAAGACAGGTCTGAAAATTGGCAGTTCAACTTCAGAACTTTTGTCTGATACCGGGATAAAGATATTAATTTGAAATAGAATATAAGATTGATTCATTCATGTTTGGTTGTGGATACTAGCCGATAATTGTATAAATTTTATATCAAAATGATGAAATTAGCTATTTAAAGTGGAATAGTTAATTTCATATGATATCCCTCCGCATGAAATATCATCCCACCTAGTAACCAAATAAGCCCTAAGGGTATGAATCACCACAGAAATATTAGTATAGTAATTAAATGGTAACTGTGGAGATTACCCCTCGCTCCCACCCACTAATTTTGTTGGGCAAAATAAATAATTGACAGTTGGATCGAAATTAATTTGATTGACTAGTACAAAAATATATCTAAAATATATTATATGTATATAATGCACTTATATATATATAATATATATTTATCAGATATTATTTTTTAGAGCAGATAAAAATATATATTTCTAAATTTCGTTTTACTACATTAATTTGGACTGATTTTCAAAGATGGAGCAGCCCAAATTCATGTTTGTGGTTGGTTTTGACTACTAAACAACAGTACATATAATTACACATGTAGTAGTATTATCTTTGGGTTGGCGGGCAAAAATTGGAGAATGAGACATTCCAGAGTTTGGAATTCATGAATTGCAAGCTGTACAACGGTTTAACGTTTTGCAACACTTGGCAACGGAAGCTCTGCATGCAAGAAGAACACGAACAAGCCAAAAATGGAGAAACACGAAAAACGTGAACTAAAGCAACATAAAGCTGTTGTTTTAATTTGTTACCGCTGTTGAGCAAATTCGAAAACGAGAAGAAGCAGACTGCAGTTACTTAGCGTTCTCGAAAATGGAGAGACCGACAAGCAGCTCGGCGAAGGTGCAGAACGCCGGCACGGCGTCGATGCTGGTGGCGACGGTGGCCGATTTGATGTCTCTGTATATGCAGAGTGGTCACCTTAATCATCTTTCAGTTTTCAGCGACCTCTGCCTCTCTTTAGCCAAGTCCGCATACATTCTTCTCTATTTCTGCTTACTAATTAACTCATTTACTAACTGTGTGTCCAGAGGCGAGGCAGATCTAAAATTTAAACGCAAAAAGTGCACCTCTACACACACATGCATACTTTTTTCATCACATCAGCACAACCTGTTTTTGGAAATTGAAGTCGAATTTTTCAGCTTCAATCGTTTGACAAAAATTTGAACTACGGATTGCGGCCAAGCTTTGAGTTGTTTGGCATTGTTTGAAATGCGTGCTCTGTTTACTGCTGGACTAATTCTCAAAACGTGGAGTCATAAATTAGGTATTTCATGTTGGAAGCTTATAAAATCGTTGTGCAGATCAGGTTACGTGCAATTGCTGATATACTTATTCGTATATGTTTAACGTTATGCCAATGAAGCTAATATGTTTGTGGGTTGACCTAATAAATCAGCTGAATCAGTACTGATCGTGCTACATTTTTAATTATTGAATTGTCAATGTTTTAGTGGAATTGTCTATGTGAATGCATCAAAATGAAAAACATAGGTAAATTAAGGTGCAAACAGTGAAACACAAGGGATTAATTTGAGGCAAGTTTAGTTTAGTCAATATCCTCTAACAGCATAGCCTTATGCGAACGCACAACTGGAATTTGCTGCTTAAACAGTACTTATCAAATTTCTTATGCAATGTAGTTGATGCCCACCCATAAACCTCTTTATGTGCTTTTGCAGACAGACATACATATACATATATATATAATGGACTTAATTTCAATCAATTACTCCTTAGCAGAACATACAAAGATCTATTTTAGTCCCACTATATTTGTTGCTTTTTACAAAATGAGTTAAATTCAGTTTTCTCGTTACTTTCGAGCTGGTCCAGATTCTCTTACTTGAGATAAACTTATGTTTGAAATTCAAAAGCAGAGGCATTGATCATGCAGTGGCTAACAACGAGGTCCCCTTAAGATCACATGAGCTACCATCACTGTTGAAACAGGTAAGATAGACTAAGATGCAAACGGAGTAATGAGCTTCTTAAATTTATAATGAACACTGAAACTGCAGACATTTTTCACATTCTCAGGATGCTTCCTTTCGAAGCTGCATTTGTGTCTTTAACTCTAGTTTGCTTAATGTTTGTAAGCTATCATTCATAATCTAATGTAAGTAGATAAAAGCTGGAAATAAAATTTGATGCTGTGGTCAGTTCACAGTGTAAGTGCAGCATCTTGATGCATCCACTGTAGAATATGTTGAATACTTTTTGAATCCAATGGGAGTGTGTTCTGGAGATTTATCATCTATTTTCATGTGCCCCAAGGTGTACAAGTATAGGAATGACTTTTCCCTCCAAGACGCTTCTATGGTGTTACTGATGTCTGTCAAGGTATACCAATCTTTCATGTTTCCTCATAAAATTAGTCATATTAGTTTCCAATATGAAAACCTGAAGTCATAGCAACTAAACTTCTAATTCCAGCTTGTATACCTCAATTCTACTTGCACATCCCAGAACTTGTATGCAGTTTATACTTTTGCTACCATTTATTCTCTTTTAGTGCAGGATTTTACTGTATTTCTTCCCGAGTATTATGGCTCCCTTTGCATTGTTATAATGTTGTGGTCATTGATATACAAGTGCTGTATGTGCAAGTTCTGTGATTTTTCTACACCTTGTATATGAGGTGCTGACTAAAATGTTGCCTGAACTTTTACTTGTGCTGGACCCACCATTAATTTCACCATCATACTCACATCTTCTTGACCTCTTCTGCCGCAAAGGACTCCTATTTCTCACCAATAATAAGCAAGCAAGTAGCAAACAGTCCTCAAACACAACCTACTACATCTTATTGTTGCTTAGATGGTTACATGATATCGGTATTCCAATGCAGCAATTACAGATGTGTTGGTAAAGCTATTAAGAATCCCCTTTCCTAATAATGTTCTCTTGGCTATTTTCCTTATCAGAGGGAATAATTAGGAAATTATAGTTTCTAACAGAGTTGGAATAAGATTTATTATTTCCTTGTAACAAATGTTTCACAAATTAGCTTCTGAAACTTGGAACTGCAAATCCTGTTAGAGATAGATATAACTAGTATAGTAGCCAAAGTAACCTTTCTAGGAGCACGTAGATTTCTTTATATTGAAAAGGAGGTGATTTTGAAAATTAAAAGCCAGAAGTCTTGTGTCCAGGTTAGAGAAAATTTGACTTTCAGCATACTGGTATATATCTGTGCGAATTAAATAGCAACTTGTTAGTGTATTGAATAGTAAATAGTTTCCCACAGCAGGCGTCTAAAATTTATGTGCCATTTATTTGGGTGGACAGCGACGAATCTGATCTGCTGTGTAAAAAAAAAAAAAAACAGGAACACCGCTATGAAGATACTTACTGGTGCTACTCTATTCTTAAATCTACGAAAATAACTTTGTACTATATTAGCACAAATAGAAACATATAGTTACTCAGGTGATTATTGATTTAGATGGTTATAGAGCCCAATCAAACAAAAAACAAAATCAAATTTAGTATCCTCTCCAGAAGATGAGTTCTAAAACATCTATGATATATGGACGGGGAGCTAGGTTGGGTAAGGGAGAGAAAGGACAGGATAGTTTTTCTGGTAGTTTACTAGAAGTAAGGAACACAGCTTAGTTAGAGGGTTAGACGTGGAATTGTTCTTGACTTCTAAGAGATCTACAGACCCGTTATAATATTCCTCTCACATGATAAATCAGATAAAAGTGCAAATATGCTTCTCTCTAAGTACTGAGTTCTTTTGTGAACCAAAGAAGAGATAAGTGGTGGTTTAAATTGTTTCCAACATTCTCAAGAAATCTCTTTATCATGTTCATTTCCATCCGAAATGTTGCAAAGCTGGTTACTCTTGTACTTAGTTTAGACTAAATGGATTTGTTGCATCTGTGTCCTGATTAGAGTGCCTGCAAGGTTGGGTGGTTTCGGAATGAAGATACCAATGATCTGCTTATACTTATCCAGGAGGTAAGTGAAACCTTTCATGTTGATCCTGCTCTTTGGTTTTCAATGACTTCGTACCTTGTGACTTTCGATCTTATTTTTGGGATCCTGCTCAGGTTAACAGATACTTCTCCAGTGCTGAAGATATTGGTGTTGACCCCAGCTACGTCCACCCTTATGTTTCAAAAGTATTAAGAAGGTCTGTACTCTTAATGTGTTAGCCATGTCATTACTAACTGCACCTCTATTTTTAACAGTTCCCTTAATACATCAGAAGATTTAGAAGGATATGGTGTGACATCTCTAGCCGTGGTAGCTGTTACTGCCAATTTGTCAATTAAACTATTGTTCTTCTGATTGGCCATTCTTTTTTTTTTCCTTGAGATAATATGATTTCCCTCTTTCTTTGTTAGCAATCAAACTGCTTTAACTAAAGCAAGTTACTCCTTATTGTATTACTCACGTGTCATGTCCTAGAAATTAACTCGGTCAGTTTATAATTTTTTGTCAATACATGAAGCTCACACTTCTATTTCCCTCACCAATCACCATCACCATCCCATCTCCGCAGTCACTTTCACTTTAGAATAATGTCAAAGCCTCTTTGCAAATGCAGATTCTCTCCAAAGCTGAAGATGGACAGGATAGTAGCTGCTTTTCAAATCAAGGCAGGTTAATTTGTCTACTAAATGGTCTTGCTACAATTTGAAATTTTGGTGGTCTAATTGGTTATTTTTGTGTAGCCTGGATTTGGAGCTTTTCATGCTGATTTCCACATTTTAAGGGGAATGGTCACTCCAGAGAAGGACGAAATAGTAAGTGTTTTTGCTAGCGTTTGGCCATAGATTTCCAAATTTGTTTTAAAAAATCTGATTTTGGTGAAGTTCGCTTTGAAGATGAATATCTGTTTGGACATAATTTTTCAAAACATATCATTTTTAAAAAAAATATATGAAATATGACTTATACCCATAAGTTTTAAAAATTATCAAAAATACCCAACAACACTGAAGAAAATTCATACAAAACAAGCGAAACAAATCTAAAGAAAATTTATACAAACATTAGCAGATTTTAGCAAATTACCTTCAAATTTTATCTTTGCGGTGGATTGCCACATATTGGCACAATAACTTTGGTGAAGGTTTTCTTATGTTTATAGAGAAGGCAAAGCCGCGTGAGTTTAATGAGGGAAAAGTGGGTAGATATGGATTAGTTGAGTCATAATATCAGAAAGTGGGTTTTTTTATAAAATACAAAAGTTTAGGGCAATTTTTGAAATTTTTTTAAAAACCAAACGGTAATATTTTGGGCCAAAAACAACTCTTGAGCTAGTTTTGGGATTTGAAAATTTGCCAAAATATGGATAAAATCTACAAACAAACAGGTATTTGCCAAAAATAATTTGGAATTGTTTTGGCAAAATCTATGGCCAAACGGGGGTTTTGTTTAATCCATTGAGTTGTAAAAGCAAGATGGTTAATCCGAAGCTTGTTGCTTATAGTTGAATAAGAATTTAGGATGTGTTTGGTATAAAGGAAAATGTTTTCCTAGAANTCTCAAACCCCAAATACCCAACATTTTGAGGACTCTATTTTCTTCAAAAGTTTAATTATTCTTTTAAAAATTCACACAAATCCAAAGTGACTAATATTTGTTTTACTTTTTCACGCAAAAATAACATTGAAATTTGTGCTACATAATAACTAAAAAGAAAATACTACTATTTTTTTTGTTGAAAAAGAAAGTACTCTTTCTACAACATGAAAAAGTACTCATTTTGTTAAAATGAGAAAATATTTTTTCTACATCATAAAAAGAAAATACTCATTTTGTTGAAATGAAAGAAATACTTTTTACTACATCATTTTGTTGAAATGAAAGAAAATATTTATTCTACATCATCAAAAAGAAAGTACTTTTTTTGTTGAAACGAAAGAAAATACTTTTTTACATCATGAAAAGAAAATACTCATTGTGTTGAAATGAAAGAAAATAATTTTTGTACATCATGAAAAAAAAAGTGTGGGGAAGGTTGAAGAAGAATTTTGAAAAATATTTTCCCAATTGGAGGAAAATGAATTCACGAGGAAAATGTTTTCCAAAACATTTAAGCCAACCAAACATGGGAAAATTGGAAAATATTTTCCGGAAAATATTTTCCTTCATACCAAACACACCCTTTGTGTTCTATTATTAGTATCTTTTCTACTCTGAAACTATAGCTGTTCTCTCGTATACATTTTTGCAATCTACATTTCCTGAGGGTCCTGGTTCTTGTGTCCAATTGGCCCTTACATTGTTTCACATATTTTGGCTTCACTAGTGGGAAATTCCAGAGTACTGTTGCAGTTATTTCGCTTCTTATCATCACTACCTTCTCTACCGTCATGTTCTAATTAACTAACGCTAGTCATCCAGTAGCAACTACCATGAGCAGTTAGGAGAAAAGAAGTTAGGTCTTTATTTTCGTACTTTTACTACTTTAAATATACTTAAATCATACTGTTTGAGCTCTTACATAATACTAGTACTATTTTTTTCATGTTCCAATCTTATTGGCTGAATTTCATGCAGTTATTACTTGTAACAAATGTTGACAATATGGAGACAGCATCCTGCATCATTGCGCCACCAGAAACAACGTATAACCTACTTTATTTTATTCTACTTTGTTAGCTTAAACTCTAACCCTCCATTCTTCCTTTGGTGTCGGACCCTAATTTTCAACTCTTCTTGACTGTAGCTTTCTTTTAAATGGAAAACGGCTGGAGGTGACGACTAAGGTGTCTGTAGTCTGTTTCTCCCACCAACTAATTTCTCTCTCTGAATGATTTTCTTGCTATCAATTTTTGGAGTTGATCAATTAGTGTAACTGCGCAAATTCAATCTCCATTATCCTGAAATTTTGCAGGACAGTATGCAGCAGCCTCCCACCAACATCACTAAAATGCTCAAATATGGTGTGAATATTCTACAAGTTGTTGGACAATTTAATGGTACCCAAACGTTTTCCCCATTGATGCCATTTTTCATGATGAATGTGCTTATCTATTATGCTATACTATTAGGAAAAAACTTTTACAGGTCATTATATTGCTGTAATTGGCATAATGAGGTTACTACCATCTTTAGAGTCTCATGGGATAAAAGATTGTGGTAGATCTCTTCCTTTAGCTTGTTCAGGTAAACCCAAATAAAAAGAAACAACGGTGCACGTGTGTTTTAGTCTGTTTAGGTGAACATATTTGATAGTTTGTGTAAGGAGATGTTTTGTATAACTTGAATAATTATTTGCTCCTACTTCATCGCAGATCTGGAAATTGTTGAGAACTCATCAAGAATCTCGCTTAACTGGCCCACCAGGTAAATTATCATATGACACAAATTTTCTTAGTCCATGTCTTGGCTTCTCTACACTTTTTTATATTTATGGATACATGTTTGAATATGAAAATGCCATGTAGCACGCACACTAAATTTATCTCCTAAATTTTCCCTAGCAGATGATGCTCACCTGGAGTTAAACACAGTCCTCTTGATACTATTTTCTGGACGGTAAAAACATACCCGCACCGGGTGTTTACACCCGACCAATAAACAAATGACACATGATTAACTTAACTAAGCCGGGTGTAAACACCAGGTGCGGGCAAGTTTTTACCTTTCTGGACCCAGTCCCACTAATCTTAATTAATTATATGGCTAGAAATCTTTGAGTTTTTCCCCTCGGATCAAGTTGGGTCGCATGCTGACAGTTGTGTGTACTTACGATCTCAACATCAGCCTTGGAAAGGTTGCGTATTTTCTCCAGCTAGTCTTAATTTAAAAGAGTCTCTAGGATTATATGTTGCTAATATACGTAGTCACATACACATACAAACCGAGACAAACTCATGCGCATGGAGTGTCATTTTTCCTTTGTAGTCCATCCAAAGATAAATGACGAATCATTTAATAACTAGAGTTTCATCACTGATCTAACGTCAAGTTTGGTAGCTGGTTTACTTGCATATTGGTGATGATAATTGTTTGAGCGTGCATTTGGCGTCTGCAAGCCTGAGTGTTTCCTGAGGTCAGGGGCTGAGGTAGAGTGCGGGATGCGGGTTCGGCCAAACCTAATAGCTTTTATTCAAACCATGTATTTGTCTTAAGAAATCTATTGAATATGTACAACTTATTAATTTAGAACCCAGAAACTTAAAAGGATTACAATTCCGAACCTTTCAAATCCTGACTTCGCCTATGCTTGAGGTCCTTTTTGAGACTAACGGGAAGTACCATTATAATGCTACCAATTATTAGTGATTATTCTTTTTTGCATTTCTGTTAATGATGTAGTGCTTGATTATCACTACTTGGAAATTCATGCAACGGAACCTATTTGGCAGTTCCTCACTGCATAAAACCAGGATGTCTTCAAGAACTAAGGATTTATCGAAATGTTGATAAGGTAACTCATGTTTTAGATCTCCTAGCAATTCTTGCCAGGTCTTGAATGAGGTAGGCAACGAGGTTGTTCCTGGAGTCGCATCTGCAAATGGATCCTGGAAACCAATTGTACAAGACAAAAGTGTCTCAAGTCAAACATACAGCAAAAGCCAATACATTAAGCAACTACGGCATGAAAGTAAATACAGCCTGAGCGCTGCGACATTGGATAAAATTCAAATGCCAAAGCCTAGGATACTTGTGCATGCTTCTGTTCCAGTTACATCAGTGAAAACAAATGCCCCGGCAGGCTACAATCAACAACCTCAAAGAACCTTTCTGGCGCCATCTTGTCTTGCAACAACTGAAGAAAGCTCAGAAATGTGTTCTGCCATGGTTAACCAGGTTAATGAACAAAGGATAGATTTGAAATAAGAGAGCTTATTGGCTCCAAGAACAAATTACTGGAGGGGCAGCCTTAGTAGCAGACCCTCTTCGGCTATATTCCAACAATTTATGTTACCACACTATGTGATCGATAGTATCCTTTTCATTCTGCGTGCTGTTTTCGCTGCTTTATTTTAATATGAAGTTATTCACCTACAATAGATAAATTCCGTATAATTGTCTGTCCAGAATCTATTTAGCTATTTTATTACTTCAACATTTTGTAAAAAATCAACTATTGCGTAGTAATTTTTAATTTCTACTTCTAAAAATAAAACTTCAACTGGTTAACTTGACTCGAAGAAAGATTGCTTGTCTAACTTTCATAGATCTAGAGGTTAGACATTTTACCTTAATGATTAATCAATTGAATTGATCCAAACCAAATGAGAGTTGGTGCGGGAAAGATAAGAACGGAGAAGGCCGAGGAAAAGGGGGTTCCTAATTATTTAATGTGATTTGCGAAAAGAGATCATGAGATGTTTTAGAGTGTTCCAGTGACATTACTAATTGCTGAAGAAGGTTCGATGCTCGAAGATGAGATCCTTGATACCATCCTCTCTGCAGTCACAGACGATAATGATAAAATGCATAAAAACCTTTCTGATACGGAAGTGACTTCTTGTCTTTCCCTAAGAGGACTCCAATTCTTAGACTTGGAATACACGTAGACTTTGTCGTTTCTATGGTGTGTATCAATGGGTTGTAAGATGGGAAGGTGGGGACGGAAGGATAAGAACAAAGAAGGGAGCACTTTCATGCATAAAGCATAGGTGAGGAAAGGTCCAGAAATAGAATGCGGGCAATCCTTGGGCAAGACATTTGAGACAAGCTCTTGTAAAATTCTGAAAGCCAACAACAATTCAACTACTTTTTGTTCCACTTCATTTTTTTGAAGGCAAAATGCGGAATATCATATATGTATTTCTTGCCTTCTTGATTCTTTCAAACCGCATATGAACTACTAGAAAGGACATTCAGCAAGGACATGTTCATTGTAACGGCTTATTTTCATTATAAAAATATTTTGAGCAGATGGGTGTGCAGGTTGGGGATTGAAGATATCTAAGACACAGTACCCATGCACAGCATAAAATATGTATTGAAAGGTCTAAAGGAAATAAAAGGAGAATTACCAATAAATTCATCAGCATTATCTAAAGCCTTCGACGCTGCAGAGAAAGCGTGGATGGCGGCCAATAGAGTTAAAACAGGGGCTTCTTTCCATTTAACATAGCAAGCAAATGATCCAAAACTTTACTTCCGGCGTCTCTCAGACCAGAGTGCATGTACTCATTAGTAATCCAAAGCCTGATTCCTGCTATCTGAGAAGCAGTCTCCATAGATAGCTTAAAGTTAACATACATGTCTTCGTAGTAAACAGCAGCTCCAACTGGTACCTGTATATAAAAAAAAGAGCCCAGGTGTTATATGAAGTATAAAACATCAGGTTACTGTAACTTCTTGTCTATTATTAGGAGTGATACGTCAAGGTAGATTAAAATCTTTAACATATTGATTGACACGAGCCTGAAATTGTCAACTTTAATAGAAATACAACATACCTTGTTATCCTCTAATGCAGCAATATCATATAATGAAGGCCAATCCTTCTTCTCTGCTAATAGCTGGGCCGCATCTTTGAATGGCCTCAAGGCATGGACTTCATCAAACAACCATGGGAATATCATCTACATGTTAAATTAAAAGGCGATCAACACTTGCTCAATATACGAAAAGTTCAAACTTTTTTCACCCAAAATAAACAAAGGGGTCTCTTAATTCCAGCTGAAAGAAATAAATGCATTCTGCAAATTTTTGACCTCAGATCAATGGTCCATCAGACTAAATGCAAAATAAACCCATGTGATATCAGCTGAATGAGTGATTTATAAAAATGTCCATAATAAAGAAGTGTAGGCTTTATTAAATCACAAAGACAAACCTCACAACTCTGATCAATAATAAGCACCTCAAGTGGGACAGAAGCTCTTAAACCCAGTACATTAAGCATATTTTCAGCAGTTCTCAGAACTGGTCCGTGGAGAATACCCTGGGTTATGATTTCGTCCCTGATATATTGGTTGTTCATATGTCGTTCCAAAATAATCCCATTGTTTAATTGATCCTTTCCTCCAAACCCCAACCAAATATCCATGACTTCTAGGAGCAGTGTGCAGTTGGAATTTTCTTATGTTATTTTCCCCATATGTGCCTCACAGAGGAAGTGTGAACTAGGGAAGATTTGACAGTCAATCCTGTTGAACTCTAACCATAGTGTTTCTTTGCATTTGTCCTCTGAGAATTGAACTCTCACCACTGAGGGTCTGCTACTCTTCTTCTCTCTTAGTCATTCAAAAATCACCATTTCCAGCAATTTGAACTCTTAATTAACACCATAATTAAAATCTCTTTCATTTACAAAATGAGAAAGCAACTAGGAAGAAGACGAAGAAGAAAATTAAACTTAGCTAAACAGAAAATTGAATTGTTTCTATTAAGAGAATCAATTTAGGTAAAGCAAAATCAAGAACAAGGTAGCAGTAGCTATATACATCTGCAGGAAGTTAAAGAATTATGTCGGAACTTGAACTAAGGGAAATAGATAGGATGTGCAAGGATGAGCATATACATCATAGTTGCTCATAAACAAACTGATATTAATATAATTTTAGACTCTATGGTCTATGCCACATCTCTACTGTGCCGTCAATGTGGAGGTCAGATCATCACAAAACATAAAGCGGAAGTAAAACTTTTGTTTGATGCTTGCTTCATATTATCGCGGTTCTTAACTAAAAAGCGTCCACATTGTGTCTTACCTCTCCAGTAAAAAGTACGGGGCGGCTGTTTTTTGCTGCCTCAATTGCGTTGAATTTGTTGTCATTTTCAGCCCTAATTCTGTGAGCAGACCACATTGACGACGCACCCTTCATATCAGAAAAGGCCAATGAATTAGACAGTAGCATGCATGCATGCAGAAAATAGGTACCCAAAACTATAGAAATAGATGCAGAAATTCCTTTAGCCAAGTGGTCACACTGTTGTAGCCATACTCCTATTGAAAGTTTACCTGGCAATATATGCTTTCATGCAAAAGAGCATATAAAGGATTTGCATCAAATGCTATCCATCTCTCATACTGCAATGCCACAAAGAGTTCAAATCAGCAGATATCTCATCCAGCTCCTGCACTTCTAAATATATCTCGAATTACCAAGAAAATGCTGGCAGCTCATTCTCACAAAATGGGCTGGAATTTCAGATCCTTAGCATCTCCTAAATGGCAAAAAATCTCACAGTCTACAGTAACAAATATGAAAAACTCTGTTTACTTGTCAACAGACGGAAAGACACAGCACTTCTACAGTTATCATAACACCTATATGTCATCACCAAAGTCATCATGAGCTGCTAAAGGCTTAAATATGTCATTATCCAGGATAATCCACATCTGAAAGAACTTTATTTTTGTCCAGCATCTTAAATTAACTTTTACCATGCAACAGAATATCAATTTTCTAGAGAAACAAAACTGATAATAACTTAACATGACATTTAGTTTCTGGTTCATAAGAGATCAGACATTGCACATGAAAGATTTTTGCATTCTTCCTTAACAGGATGTTCGCTCGTGTTCTTTTCTCTTTCCTCCCTTTATTTTTGTATTTCTTCGTTTGAAGTCAAAGCAGGATTAATTAGTCATGAATTATCCTATTCAAAAATCAACACAAAGATAGTCATTAGGAGTACCATATAAACAAACAAAGAAGAACGCGGGCCACTGAAAATTTTTAAACTGATGAAACTGTACAGAAAGCATTTGAACTCAATGTAAAAAAATTCAAGGAGGATATCTATGGCAGCATGTTTAGTTCATGAACCATGTTTACTAATTGCTGAACAAGATCTCAAGTTTTTCGCAATATTAATCAACTTAAACTCAGAGAATAAAAATTCACTATTTTTTTTGTAACAACAATATCTCACAGCGTTCAAGAAGTAGTCACTGATTCTCCTTTTTGCTCCTTGAACTATTACAGGATCCCAGGCTCTCTCAAACCTATAAGCATAGTATGGAAGTCAAAGATTCAAATGTATGATATTTACTGGGAAAAAGAAAAGGAGGAGATGGCAAAATGATGGCTTACAGGTAATGCAATCGTTCAAAACCGGTACTAGATCCTAGACCCGAGAGACCAAGAAGCTGTAGTCCTCGAGGTGTTAAGATGCCGCCAGATGGAAGAGGCACCTATGTCACACACAGAGAAAAGGAGGGAGATAGGGTAGGGTGCAGAGAGATAGAAACATTAACATTATTGGAAAAGTATGTATCAGATGGACTCATATGAAAAAAGTAATTGTATACAAGCATAATTCCCTTACCCCTCCTCCTTCAGATTCTGCCAGGTAATTTACGACATCACGAACAATTTCAATATCCTGCGGAAACCTCTTGTAATATTTTTCATTCTGATGAACAAGCTGCTCAAAGCCTGCCTTGTAAACAGCATCAGCTGTGCATCCTTTTCCAATTGGAGGGAGTCCGCCAGTTATAAGAGCATGTTTGAGTCCTTTGGGAGCAAAACTCAAGTAAGTAACTGCACAAAATCCTCCGAAGCTCTGCACAATTATGGATCCAATCACAAGCCAGCGATTTCAAGCACAACTAACATCAGAATTAAGACTTCCATACATCATATGAGATGATAGTTGTACCTCAAAAGATATTTTCAAATAAATTTTTAGAAAATATATACTCCGTAATAAAAACGAAAATTGAAAAAATTGTTCCTGCAGTAGTCTTTTTTAACAACTTATTGAGAGAATACACGATGACATGTTAGGATCGGGAACCCGGATAGTGCGGAATTTAGCCAAACAACGGTATAATGACAATAACAAAGACAATGTAAGTTGATAATAACGGCAATTAAAGAATATAAAGAAGACACAAATTTTTCGGTCAAGGTGACCTACGTCCACAAGCGGAGAGAAGCAATTTCACTATATCAACAAGAGTACAAAAGAGAGTACAAATTAGAGTAAATACTCTAATTAATCCCAAATACCCCAAGAGAATAACCTCACAAAATCACTCCAAAGAAAGGGTTCACACAAGTGTTTCCCAACACTCACTCTCTTACAAAATACTCTATAATGAAATAAATGGGGAGAAAGAAAGACAAGAGTGAAAAGCTTTTGAATTGGTGTGTTTACAAATAAGGAGAAACTCCTCTATTTACAGCAAGAAATCCTTAGTCTAATAATGGATATTATGTCATGGCAAATGTCATGATCCATAAATTTGTTATAATGGATATTA